TCGGTGCTCACATTCCTCTTGTTGTCGTCTACCTGCATCACCCCAATAATCCGTGCCGCAACACGTGACGACGCCGATGACGACGATTACCTTTTCTCTCCTCCCTACCATCGGTGAAATGAATTCCATCGTCCCGACAGCTATCTTAGCAACCCCTTACGCCACCAGCAATACGGACTGTCCTCATCACAATCGCACCTTTACACCTCGCATCGGCCTGATCGATCACTTGCGAGCGCATCGCACCGGGGCTGGCAAGATGGCGCCTGGAGCGTCAACACACACCCGCCCCGGCTACCTGCGCTACCCACACACATTTAGTCACCGTGTAGGCCGCTCGGTCAAGTGCGCTTCAATAAAAATCTGCGATGGACCAGCGCAGGACAAACTCCATCCTTCTACGTTTCCCCGCAAACACACATCGCAAGCACAAAACAGACTTTTCTGAAGTAAATTGGGAGTTCGTTTTCCGCGTTGACCCCAACGTATGGGATATCTGGGCGGTCAAATCCACTGTGCGAAATCCTGGCGTGTTGTGCTGTCGGGGCCCGCTCATGCGTGGCACGCGTAGATGGGCCATCTTAGCTCTGTCAGCCTTTGCATAGTCGATTCGCTGACCGACTTGGACAGCGAAATGATGCCGCCTGGGATAGGAAAGAGAGACAGTAATGCTGACTTAGGGAACCACGTCTCCGAGACACTGAGCACACTTTCCTCACTACAAACAATCTGGCGAGCTTGAAACTACCACGTGAGCTAAAAGTCATGAATTAAGAGGCTGCAAGCTGACGGGATAACTCCGTCTTCCTCTCGGAACGGAGAATCAGACCGCGATATCTCCTTCTTGGTGTGGCCTCAACGGCATACCCACGTGGTTGTGACCTAAGCCTGGTTCGTTCTGTGCGGACCAGGTGTTTGTGGCACGCGGAGGCGGTCTGTCTAGGCGCGTCAATCACCTCTGGTCTTCTTAACTCTGTTTTGACACCGATCCCCATGAATGAGAGGGGGGTGGGAGGATAGCGCGATAGATGCAGCGCAAGCCGTCGTTCCTGCGCCCGCCATGCTGTGGGACACGCGGTGGACATCGTCTGTAGTGACGTTTGGACTGCCAGAAGTGAAAATAAGCACAGTCTCTGTTGCGACTTAAAGCCGCCTTCCAACAGGCATCACAAACGGCCTCCAGTCTCGGAGGAGCGAGGAGGGCAAATGGAACTGCACTGTGAGAGGGTCAATGCAGCCTAGACCTCGGTCTCAAGGAGGACCGATCTATCCTGTCATCTACCAGTCGCTCATGCGTAGAGTTCCTGCATGCCATAGTAATTAAATGATCGGCCTCAGCATCCGTTTCACACTCGCTGTTCTCCCCCATGCGCCCCAGCTGAACCAATTAATGTGTAGGTGGTGCGATTGGACTTAATGGCTGGCATACCGTGAGAGCCTCCAATGAAGATGAGGCACACGTATGGACGACTAATGGGAAGGCCCTACGCAGACTCACTGTCGCCCAACAGACGCCTGCCATGAGTCACTGTCGCCCCTGTTTTGTGCTTGCACAGTCGAATCAGAGACCGCCTGAGGCGAGAGTATCATGTATGGCCTTACGGTGATCAAAGGTCAGGATCACTGCAAAAGCCTGCCTCAAACGCACAATAAAACATTGTTTGCATTTTGACACACTTGATGCATTCCGGGTGGCCAGCACTTCGGGACGAACATCGTGTCACAAATCTGACCGTCCAGGCATTTTGTTGCGTGAATCCGAAAGCCTCACTGTTTATGTTTGCCGGATTTTAACTGACCCCCGGCAGGATCTCACGTGGCACATTTGACAGCCTGGAATCTAGGTGAGAGGATAGGCATTGGATGAATTGTCAAATAAATACGTCAGTGTCAGTTACGCTTACCTAAATTCTCTTCGGCATGCTCACCATAACCATCGTCCTCTGCCTTGCTGCACTTGTCTCTAGTGAAGAAAACAAAAGTAAGTTTGGCCATTGATGCTGTTGTTTCTGCCTTAGTTGTGCGTGTGAACTGGTGTTCATGGTCTAGAAGCTCCACTTGAGATAACGACCGCACTGTGCACAAAACTAGTATGTCGTAAAACACAACTCATCAGTGTGGTCCGCTAGAAGATGTGGTCAGGGAAGTAAGGTTAGCCTACTGACAAATTCAAAAGTGAATCTGACAATAATGCCCGTACCATGATAAGTTAACATCTCAATTGGGATTTTCACAGCTGTGTACTGAATCTTTAGATACACTGAATGTAATGGGGCGTTGCAAAAAAAATTTTCACAATCTGCAGAATTACAGTAAATGTGCTAACTCATGAAATGTCAACCAAAATTTGGAAATGCGTTCTCGTTTCGAAAAGATAAATTAAGTTGTGTTGTAAAACTAATCATGATGCAGCATAAATCTATAATGATCCAGTTACCTCAGGGTGTCTGCTTTCGAAAGAACTTATTTTCGGCTGCATGCAAGATTTTTACTCTGCAAAAAATGACCACTTAAGTAGCATGCAATTTTCTCATTGATTATCGATGCTCTTGAAAATTCAATTATATTTCATGGAAAACATGCAAAAAAATGTTCATTCTTTTACTTATTCGGTAGAAAATCCCGTCTTCTTCCAATTTCATACTCAAAAGAAAAGTATAATTCGGTTTTAAAAAAACTTTTCGAATTCCCGAATAATTTTGAACCCGACCTGCTGTTACACTTGCATTCAGGGTTTCAAAACTACAAGCTGTATATTTTCCGCGTACGGAAAACCATGCATTTCTCTACGGTGTTAAGAGGAGACCATATGAGGTTCATAAAATTAAGCAGTGGATTTGAGCAATATTGTTAACTTTACAAGCCACATTCGTAAATGCCGATACATGACGTTTCATGAACGGCCATTTAACGATATTAAAAAATCTCACACTTAGAATCTTTTCTAAAACCGAATTATACTCTTCTTTTGAGTATGCAATTGAAAGAAGACGTGATTTTCTACCGAATAAGTAAAAGAATGAACATTTTTTTGCATGTTTTCCATGTAATATAATTGAATTTTCAAGGGCATCGAAAATCAATGAGAAAATTGCATGCTACTTAAGTAGTCATTTTTTGCAGAGTATAGATCTTGCATGCAGCCGAAAATAAGTTCTTTCGAAAGCCGACACCCTGAGGTAACTGGATAATTATAGCTTTATGCTGCATCATGATTAGTTTTACAACACAACTTAATTTATATTTTCGTAACGAGAACGCATTTCGAAATTTTGGTTGACATTTCATGAGTGAGCACATCTACTATATGTGCTTTAAATACATTTGGCTTTCATAAAGCACTGGGATCTGCGAACTTCGCCTCAATATTTGGTCAACGCCTGTTTCCATAATGTCGTTCGCTTTTGGCGGGCTATGCTAATACGGAGGGGACGTTGGGATCGCAAGTATCAAGAACATTTCCCTGCGTATGTGTGCACTTTCGTTCAACGGTCATTCTTAATTAAGTCTTAATTAAGTTACGTTTTCCTACAAGTATTCCGAGAAAAATCCCCTAAAGCGTGGGTTTCAGCTACACCAAGGGTATTCCACAAAATTCCATCGTCCAATCTACTTCTTCAGCTAGATCTCAAAAGGATAGGTTTCTACATCATGATGCCAGTGTAGAGGCACTCTACCTTGCTGAAAGCAAAATCCCTCGTCTTCAAAGAATTCGCTAATGCTTGGCATAGCAAACTGTCACATCAAACCCAAGTTAATGGGACCGGTCATTGTATCGCAGTTAATCCTCTTTCGTAAAAGCCACACTACAGTGTAGCTCCTCATAAGCCAACATGATGTTTCGTCAAAGCCTGCAGATCGTCAGTTTCCCAGTGAGTGCAGTTTTGGCTGTCAATTGAACTATTTAATATAAATGCGGCCCTACAACTCCACAAAATCTTTTTTTGAAAGTGTGCCAAATACCGTGAACAAAAGTAAACGCTTCGGTACGCGTCTCCTTGACTTATGCCATGAATTAATTTCGGAATTTCCCAATGGCTGGGCTTTGCAACGCGATAATTTGAGCTATCAAGGGCTAAAGTATGTACGCATACCCTTGGAACATCCTATATATTTAAATAAACATGTAGAGGTTTTCCAGGCAAACTGAGTTGTACTCGTTAATTTTTTAAACGGTTCACCAACCCGGTTTCAGATGGAATGAGTTTTGAGAGGTGAGATTATCGAAGTGGAGCGTTCGAAGGTATAAACGTTACACCAACAGGCTGATGTCCGTGGTGAAGGGCAAAAGTAATGTTGCGATAGATGCCAAGTTAGTAGGGGGAGGGGGGAGATTTGTGAGTCTCAGTTACAGCCCACATAGCCCAAGCATTCTAAAACTTCCAAGCTTCCTTCACTTCTAACACTTATCCCGAAACTGTGCCCATCGCCTCACATGGAAGTCTGTCTGATAATGCGAAGTCAACGCCTCAAAACACTATATTGCGATAATCTCGCTCCTAATAATGCATTTTGTCTGAAGCCAAGTGGATGGACCAATTTAAAAATTCACGAGTGAGACTGGGCTTTTATCGAAGAAACTTTGGCAAGATGTGGTTTGGTAGCCCCATCTGATGGACACAATACTGTTGGGGTTGAGGTCAGGTTAAAGGGTTATGGTTAGGGGTTAGGGTTGGGGGCTAGGATTAGGGTCAGGGGTAAGAGTTGGGGAAGTAGGATTAGGAGTTAGAGTTAGAGGTTAGGATTAGGTGTTAGGACAACTATTTCTCAGCCACTCAAACCAAAACCGCGCATTCCCAATAGTTGTTCTTTTGAATAAAACTATATGACCTCGTCGCCTGCGCGTTCCCCGACCCCACCTTTAAAAACCCCTATTACAACCGGTCCTGTAATACAGGTGGATGGGATCTGTTTACTTCAGGTGGAGCTACATAGCCGCATCTGACAGCTTACTTCAGTATATAATCTTGGAATGAACACTAACTAGATTATGAAATATATACTGCATTAGAAGATAGACACCTCGAGGAATAAAACTTAAGTCAGATATGTGCCGTTGGCCTCGCGAGCAGGTCAATGTTCATTCGTCGAGCACAACTACTATATGAGGCAGGCGGCAAGGCCGCATAATTCAAGACCGACAGGAATAGGAGCCACACCACGCTGACCATGGAGGTGAGGAAGTTGCTGAAACGTCAGTATGGATACAATTCGGTCCATGAGATTGCCACCTCTTCTTCGTCTCCTACGAGGGATAGGGACTGCGATAGGATATTTGAACCTTAAATCTTAATGCATACATATTTGTCAAAAGACGAGGAGGCGTTCGCCAGAAGGGGTTTATTAGAGGTCTGACGTTTCGAGTAGTTGCTTCGTCTACCCACCTTCAGAGACTGAGAAGTCATGCACACAGCTCTCCTTATATGGCAAACTTTGTTTGGTGCCTGATCCGCCAATGCCGCCTGTGTGGCTGCATCCGATCCGCATGTCACCATGACCCGAGTCGCCCCCGCCCTCGTCGGCCCTGTCCGACACCGTGACTGACCCCTGTCAAGAATGTCTGTAAAACCGGATGGGTAGACGAAACAACTACTTGAAACGCCAGACCTCTTATAAACCCCTCCTGGTGAATGCCTCCTCTTCTTTTGATATGCCACCTGCGAATCACATTTTCACTGCTATTGATACATATATGTATTGAAAAAAAGAGACATCCAAAGAACTTTAATCATAGAGAGAAGAAATAATTTAAGGAGTGTATAACTATTATTGCGTAACTTTTCCAAGCTGGTCCCCCAGCCCGTCATTAGAGTATGAGTGGTGTACAAGAACCACAAACTGACTAACTGTGTCTAACAAAGGATTTTACGGTTGACCGACATCTGCTCCAATAAACGTCAATTACATCTTGCCACCCTTTCAGGATTGGTTGTGTTTTTTTAAATTTTTCCTTGAGGATTTTGTATGTGTTATCCAAGTCGATATGCCGATTGATACATGCCTCATCTGAGCGAATCGCCCCTAGGGATTCACGGTCTCTCTTTATTGAGCGGACGCCAACAATGTGAGTGGCATCCCACGCAGCTTTATGCTTAGTGTCCGGTGTGTGCATAACCACCTGGGATACATTGTTGCATTTCATCATCTCCATCTGATGTTCGTGTACGCGGGCTGACACAGATTTTCTAGTTTGGCCGCAATAGACGACGTCACGACTGGCACATAGAATTTTATATGCAACACCTTTCCAATTGAGGTAGTCCGCCTTGTCCTTGGAGTGTAAAGGCTGTGTGCGTAAGGTACTTGCCGGTTGGTAAGCCTCTCGTATCTGGACGTTTTGGCTCGTTTCGGAAGGCTGCAGACTGGAAGCCTTTTGTGATAAACAGGATGGTTACTCTGAAAACGTTGGCTAACGTCTAAATGTGCCTCTTTGTGACAGACTGATGTGGGAAGTGATCCATCATATTTTCGGCATCGTAGGAGATCCAGGAATGGTAGCTGTCCTCCAACCGTCCTTTCAGAAGCAGAATCGGTTCCTAGAAATATGGAGTTATAATTCGAAGGGGTCGATATAAACGATTTTTCCTGATGATGACAAACATGTAATCTACTTGGCGTAACAGCAGTTTTGGACTAACTGCGGGGAGAGCCATAACTTCTAATTTCTGTATTATGACCTCATTCAGGAAACCGGATAGAAATAAACTCATAGTAGAGGAGAGAGATTTGGAGGTAGATTGATACAGTACTGTTCTGGGGTTATTTTGCCCTCATTCAGCCAATCATAACCCTGACCAGCGGCCGGGACCAGGAACACAAACATGGACACAGAAATACCTGGAGCAGCAGTCCCCCACTGGGGTCTACCAGATAGGTCATAAGCACTTCATCGAACCGAAATTCATCAGTGCCTCACCAAAGGTCATTCTCAGTCGCTGCAGATAGGGTATTTATTCACCCAGAAATGGGCATGCACCACTCCTCTGGCTGCCATGGGGGAAAAAGCTATTTTCTAGGCATGTATTTTATGGCGGGAGAGTTGGGTCGCCGTTTGTTACAGAACCTGCTCGTCTCTTTGCGTCTTGAAGCCCATTCTAGAATCCTTCCCGCCCAGCTTCTTCCTTTTTTTATTTCTTTATTCTTGTCGTGACAATTGCTATTCACCAATTCATCATGTTAAAAGAAACATAACCTTGTACTTGCTGCTCCTTGATTCGCGTGCATTATAATATTACCGAGGCTGTTGCACGCTTACGTGGCTTCGAGGTGACGTGGTATAAATGCCCTGTTGGATAGTTCACTTTTATTTGAGCATTGATTTAATACGTCATTTTTTGGAATAGTTCTAAGGAAAAAAACTAGATAATTTACGGATTCTAAAATAGGCAAGTGACCAAATGTCCCCCATGGTGGAATCTAGTTCCAATCAAATTAATCACTCCTTCCGAAAAATTGTCGGAAGGGTGAGTACTTGCCTTTGAGATGACTGAAAACTGACTGTCTGTTGGCCGATCATAGTGCAATAAAATATCTAACCATTTAATTAGCACCTTTCTGGCCTTGTGATATGGAGGCAAGTCTAGGGGATTCAGTGCGTACTCGTACACCTGTGAATAGTTTATGTGACAGGAGTGCAAGTAAGGGAGCGTTTATTAAGGTTGTGAGTGTGAAATACTACTTAAACTGAAAGATGGACATGCCTGGACCGGTATGCAGACGCCGGAAATGCTGAGTGCAGCATTTCGATATTTGATTTCATAATGACCGACTGAATTCCATCTAACACTACAATAAGGACTTGCTCCTAGCAGAATTTCACCGGAGATGTGGAGTAGGGTAGGTACACAACTTGTGGTTTAAAACTCTCTGTCCCTGAGTGTTTGCCGTGAAGATCCGTTGTATTCACCAACTAATAAAAATGACCAAGTTAGTGGCCAGTTTTTGCGACATTTTTAAGAAGCATATGAAATGAAATGGTCACAAAAACATTCGGGAGAGTTGTAAGTCGTTCTTTGAAATGAAGTTTAGGAAACATTGATTATAACTCTTAAATGACCCTCCATACTACGCCAGCTGTTACTGCAAGCTCTCGCAGTATCCAAATCATCCTTGTTCAAGAATAAGCCCAATTGAACAAAGTTGGGGGCCTTTTTAGAAAGTTCAATCAAGGTTTTGCCTCTTAGTTTTTCGCTGGGCACTTAAAAGAGTAGAATGTCTTTTTTAAAATGTTGAAAAATATTTTAAAACTATTTTTAAAGTGTACGTGGGGTCTAATCTCGGCGTGTTTCTCATAATTGCTTATGAAGCCTGGGCTGGGTATTTCAGAGTTAAAGCAGCTGAAGTAAAATAAAGAATGGTTTTCAGACAGACACTTGTTTCATAGATGAGTGTGTGACTCACAGAGCTCTTAACGTTTAACTGTTTACTATCTGTAAACAGTAAGTTTCTGAAAAATAAAATTTTTCCTAGTGCCAGAACATTGTGTCAATGCGTCAAGAAAAACTACCCTTAGTAATCGGTGGCAGCGGTGCAAGTCCACGCGGAGATTCCTAACGGTCATTCGGTTCTCTGTGCTGTTAGATAGAAGTCCACTACAGTTACTTTGACTGTTAGCTCTGCGGCACTCTTAACTGATATTTCTGCTAGAACTGCTTAAAATTATCGACCAACAGTGAGAAGCTAAAGCCACTCTGAGAGAGTTTCGGAAATCCGTCTTATGGTGAAACGGACACCATCTTATTCCTAACTTGGTTTCTTGTCGGTTTCACTTGACAAGTATTAAGTTTCCTGGCAAAACTGATGTGACTATGAAATTAATGAGGACACGGTCAGTGAGCTCTAATTTCGTCGAATAAACTATCTACGCATGATGAAGTCTCTCAAGACACGAAAGTAGTAGAGTGGTCTCTAAGCTTGTGTAGTGGCTAGAGCCCTTGTCGCGCTAGTGAATCAGACGGGGACAGTCTGTCAGTTCATCCTCGGAAGTTGCGCTACATACGACACCCTCCAACGCTTAACTCCATGAGACTCTGCGGCATTAGTTTCTGGTGAGGCCTAGTTTTTGTAAATCGGCCATGCCAGTTTTTTGAGAAATAAGATGGGCTCACTGGAAGAGGTTTATTAAAGCGCCGACGTTTCAGAGAGCCTGGTCGACTCACCAGTGCAAAAGCGTAAAATGCACTTAATCGAACAAAAAGTAGAAGTGGGACGCCACAGTGATCGGCCTCATAATGATCGCTTTTTTCTCTTCTCTTGCTGCTTCGGCCTTCGGGGGGGGGGATTGGTGAGCTCTTTGGCCGCATGCGTTGTGAGTCACCCCCTCTTCGGATGGAGGCGGTTGGGTTTCTGTTGGGGTTGGTTGGTCCGGCGGCTACTTTTCCTCCAAGTCGTGCAATCATCATCGGACTGTGTCTGTGCGGCGTTCTCAAGTTCTGTGTGGTCGTCTGGTCCCGAGTTTTATAAACGTAGTGCCGCAGGACTTTTTTAACTGTAGAAATTTCCAGATGCCCATTGACAGAGTGATATCTGAGTTCTACGCCTCAAGTGTTTGCCGTTTCTGACTATGAGTTGCCCCAGCTTAAGACGGTAGCTCCCTGAAGATCAGTAGTGCATATGGCCAGTTTCTCCAACGTGCGCTATAAGTTGGGAGTTTGGGTCTAGACTCCGAGTTGCCGATTTTTCCTCTTGTAGGCGGGTCAGCAATTGTCGCCCGGTTTCCTCAACGTACTTGTAGTCCCCATCATTGCAACCTGTTTTATAGACAACCGCCGAAAGTTTCAGTGGGTGTCAGCGTGTCCTTAGGTTGCGTCAAACTGTGCGGAATTGCTGCTGGAGTTCGATGGACTATGTCTACTTTGGCGGGTTGTAGCAGTCGAGAGACCACCTCGGAAATGCTCACAGATGCTCGCATAGCCTGCTATGATTTTTTGTTAACCTGTCCCCGATGACGAGTTTACGAAAAATTAATGAAAAAGGGCTGTCAACATAGCTCGAGGTCCGATATAAATTGCTCTCTCAACAGGCGACTATGTAGGCCAGCGATCTCGGAAATTGTTTACGTAAGTTGGCCATCAGAAACACTTTTCGTCGCCAAAATTCTCGCTGGTCAAATCATGTGTGTCCTGAAGTTGGACGCTGCAGCCGGCGGGAGGGGAGTTCGACCGCAAACCGGGCTCATAGCCTGACAGAGGTCAAAGGATCTACCATAAACAAAGCCCTGGTGATATTCGAACACACAAACACCCTGCAACAGACCTTTGACGTACCAAACATTGGCTTAAATTTAGTAGTCTTTAAATTTGGCGGTTTTTTTTTCACAAATGCGCTCATATGATTCATGAATAGGACCCAGATAGGGACTATAGCGCCAAAGCTTACGACTAGTATCGACGTGTGTTTTCCGACAAAACGGTTATGCCAGCCCTTTCGAGGTTTCACCCACACAGGTTGGCCACAGAAACGCGCGAATCACCATTTAAACATCCCCAAACAGCGGTTTCAAAGAGAGATTGCTTTGTGGCAGACCTGGCCCAGGTTGGTTGGCTAAGTCCCAAATCGTGGTGTCCTGATTGGTCGTGGAAACCCGTCTGGTTAGCGCGGGTATTCAAGAAGAGGAGTCACTACTATGCACAGGTCGCGGGACCGAGTCCCAGTTGCTCCACACTTCGGTGTTGGGTATGACTGGCTGACGGCGGTAAATAAGCCAGAAATGACCATTCCAGTCTCCCTTGTCTTTGTTGGTAATGTCATTCACGCATTTATTTTGTGCGGAGTTGCACGTTTATATAAAATGTACTTAGCCTCTGCAAAGACCTGACTAAAAATTGTTTCTGCCTCTGGCTTACAACTTGAAAGAAGGTTGGATTGTAGACTTAAAAAGTACAGAAATTAAAAATTCTCGAGGCCGATTATTGGTGTAGCGTCCCTCGGGGTTATTTTTTATCTTGCTACGCTTACCTACTGAAAGTGCATTATGCCGTGATTTACCCAAACGGTTGGTGGCATGCACCGTAGGCGGCTAAAGGTTGAAACCGATTTGAGCGAGCACTTCGAATGCCCCTGAGCCCACTTACTATTTTGAAGCAAAATTATTGATTCTCCACGTGGATACTTTTTAAGGATGATCGTTTTCCGTGACATGCCTAAGTGAAAGACACGTTTTGGCAAACGCTTTAGCGAACAAAAATTTTGCAATTCGTATTCTAGGAGTTCGGGCACTTCGAAAATTTTGCTGGTTAGATGGAGAATTAGTGCAAGGATAAGTTCACGAAGGCTGTCCTCCGAATCACCCTGATTTGCGAGAATTTAAAAAATCGGAACGAATATTCAAACATTATGTGGTTTTCTTTTGCCGGCATACGGTATAGAGGTATCCAAATCAGACGTCAGCGTGTCGTAGCATGTGAATTAGCTTGAGACAATACTCCTTTTTGTCAGAGTTCACCGGCAACCTTGTGTCTTTGAAGGTATTTTCGTAAAAATTCACGCTATTTGCAACAAAGGGGAAGAATTCTGGTTAAGTAAACGCTACATTCAGTCGAAGATTCGACATTTTGTTATAATAGTGTCAGCAATCAGACTATCATTTTCGAAATGCTGCTATCCAGAGTTGTCAAGAAATTATTCACAGTGCGGAACTCTGCCATCGGCTGTGTGTATTGGCGATCTGATTACACCGGCCATGCCTAACAACAATGACTTCTTGGCGGAAAAAAATCATCCCACTTCCCCTTGGGGACTAAGTAATGCAGACTTCATCCAAAAATTGTCATTTGATATGTAAGCTGGCATGAAATCTCCGGAGACGCTCACTTCCCCCATAGAAAGTCTGGAATGCTGCAATGTTGCTTCCTTTTCTTCAGGCTGCGTGGCGACAGGGGATAAATGCATGTGGACCTTCTGGACCCAGTGCTGTGGCTCCTCGGTCTGTGATCTCTACGGACCCTTTGAGGGTACCTGCGTCTCCTGTCTCGATGAGGGAAGGCCCTGTTTTTCAAGCAGCAGTTGTTGCACGAAGAACTGTTACTTCTTCAAGTGCCGAAAGTCGGAATAGCGCTTTTCACATGGGACGCAGACTTAGAAGGAGACGGAGGCATGTAGGAGAGTTTACTTTCAAAGTTTAAATAAAAATTTGCTTGTTCGTCTTTCTTCTTGAGAAGGCGTCTAGGAAGTCCATTGGTGTTCTTCTGAACACTGCTGTCAGGGAGTCACGCACAGATCGCTTAATCACGGGGATTTTGTTGCAGGAACTTGGCACTGATTCTCAGGGTTAAGTTACCTTTGAATACATTAGTGGACCCCTGGTGATCGCTTCGGTGTCTAGGCGGACGTATACTTAATCGTCTGTTTGTCATGAAATTATTTAAAGTTAATGAGCTAATTACCCTAGGGAGATGTGGAGAAAGAGTTGGAAATTGATTCCACACAAGCCGTCACTTTCCTAAAGCGTACTTTTCGACAACAAGTTCATTGAAGGAACTACCTGCTATGGCTCTGGAGGTTGTAGCGTGGTTATTAGATAGAAGCCGTGTAAGGCCTATCCTTTCCAGTTAGGCAAATGCCCCTTTCACTGAATGAAACCCGCACGCTTGATTTGATCGGTCTTTTAAACTGTGTTTACATTCGTCAGCGTTGAAGTTCGTGTAAGGCCAACTTAAACTCAAGGGCTTCAGCCAGTTGATGAGTAGAAGATAGTTTCTCTTACTGCAGAACTGCTTTCGAAATTCAAATTGCTGCTTACAAGAGACTGCGATACAAGTTGACCTGCTTTCAAGGTTACCGACTGCTGCTGATGAGTCGCGATGAAATGGACACAAAGCAATCATTTTGATGAGTGAAGGGTTGTCTCAAGCAGTTGTTATTTCAGTGAATTTTTAAAGGCAAGGGAGAAGGCCTTCAGGAGCCTGCCTTTGAGCGATAATGTCGTCAGCCTGAAATCATTACTTTCGTTTGTTAAGTACTAGTGTTTTCAAATTTAGCTTCAGAGCTTTATACAAAAATAATAAATGAAAACGGACGTGATGGGCTACGCAAGGTCGCCTTATTAGTGAGCACAATATTTCGAGCAGACATCCGTCAATCTAGTGTTTATAAGGTTTAATACGGCCAATATCTTCAAGATTTCAACTCAGAATTAGCTTATATTTTCGGAACAGCGACAAAAAGGACCACATCAACAGCAGATACAGCAACAGTACCAACAACGAAGCAACAAGCAACGACGGTTCGAGCGTCGTCTTCGACGTTGTTCTCAAGGCGCCGACCAATAGGACGGGTTCAGGGCGATGGATCACACATGAATGTATGGACGGCAGGCTTGCGCTGCGCCTACCGCACTCTGTCCTTCTCACCCATCTAGGCTACGTGCGAAGAAGACAGGAGGTGGAATCAGACGCAGGTGGCTGGAACGACGTGAGCCCTCGCTCAGGCATGCCACCACAGCCCTCCCCCCTGCATGGCATTTGTTATGAGTTGCCAATAGAAACGAAGAGACGAGTCCCAGGAAGCAGTCTTGAAGAAGGAGACACGATCGCTGGGACAAGAGCTTTATTAGCCTGACGTTTCAGATTTCTGCTCGAACCCATTATCAGAAACAAAACCAGATACGGGTGGTTCATGCATAAGGGGCTGCAGTATTTATAGGCTGCAGTCGCCATGCTACCGCATACTTATGAACATTCACGGCTCCCAATTCCCCTCATCAGGGATCGTTGCAATTGGTGTGACGGCCAATATTCGCGTCGTTGATTGCTGCAATTTCATCCACTGCGTTGGACGTTGGTGTGATGATTGCTCGACCATCTAATCCACCATCCCTGGAGTTGGGAAAAGTGTTCACCTGTGCGCTCCCTGCGCGGCTAATTACTCCACCTAGACTAAGTCTCAGCACTGAGTATGGAAGGGAAAGTTCATTGTACTTGATGATGAATTGGAGGCCAGGAAACCATGACTCAAACAGCTCCCGGCTCATGCGGGTCTTTCGGTTTCATTATCTGACGCCTGACCCGCATGTCTCCTCCGTCAATTTGTTATGAGTGCGCAGTCCAACAACGCGTGCCGTACCCTGATCTGATACGTACGTCAGTTCGGTTTAGCTCCCGCGCGTCCCGTCGCATGGATCACTACTACTACTACTACTACTACTACTACTACTACTACTACTACTACTACTACTACTACTACTACTACTACTACTACTACTACTACTACTACTACTACTACTACTACTACTACTACTACTACTACTACTACTACTAT